GGGGGCGGGGGAGGGTCTGCTTTTCCCTGCGCTCAGCTTTTCATAAATTTCATAGACATTCAGGCTGGAAGGGACCTTAGGTGAGGGGTTGCTCCCCTCCGCCCCCCCTCCCTGAATCACCTTGTAACCCAGCCCCACTGCCAGCCTGGGCCCCGTGCTGGCTCCAGCCCTGCCCATCAGGGCTGCGCATGGCGACAGCAGCTGCAGCCCCCCTGCTTGCCGCACCAGGCAGTGTTTGCTACTGTTGCCTCTGGGCTGCCCACTGCACAAGCTCCGGGCGGGAAGCAGCAGCCAACACTGCCCGGCATGGCAAGCAGGGGGGCCGCAGCTGTGGCCCCCGATGGGCCAGTCCGGAGCCAGCTTGGAGCCCAGGCTGGCAGCGGGGCCAGGTTATAAGCTGGTGCTGAGTGCGGGGGAAAAGCAGCCCCTCGCTCACCCCATGGTCAGCGCCCTGCTCTGTAGCTGCTTGAGGCCAAAACGGGGCTGCCTGTGCCGGCCATGGTGTGGGCAAGGGGCTGCTTTTCCCCACGCTCAGCACCAGCCTCTTCCCTGTCAGCGAGCAGGGGGTCGGGGCTGTGCGCTGGCTGCCCCCTGTCTGTACCATGGGGCTGGGGGGCACTGGGTGTGAGTGGGCGCGGGAGCCAGCGGGAGCATGGGGCCCACACCGGTGTCCCACAGCCAGTGCCGGGTGGCAGGAGTACAGGGGTCCCAGCTGGCGGGGGTCTATGAAGCTGGGCCAGCTCCCCCCTCTCCCTGCTGGTGCAGCCCAGCCTGGCTCCACAGATCCCTGCCAGCCTGTGCCCTGCTTTGGTGCACACCCATGCTGGCCCTGGGGCATTGGTCCCAAGATGGTGACCAGGGGACGGAGCACCTGTCAAGGGGCAGGGCTACCTATGTGGCCCTCGACAGCCTGCCAAAACTGGGTAAGTGGCCCTCCACCTGGAATAATTGCCCGCCCCTGGTCTAGCTCTATCCCCTTTCACACCCCCCTTCGAGTAGTTGAAAGCTGCTATTCAGTCTCTTCTCAGTCTCCTCTTCTCTAGACTAAATAAGCCCAGTTCCCCCAGTCTTTCCTCATAAGTCATTATTGGTATTAATTTCCCACCCTCCATTCCCCAGCTTGTCTAAATTGTCCCTTTCTTATTGGTAAATTGTTTCTGTTAATGTGAAAGTAATTTAGGCAGTGTTCTTGTTTGACTCTGTTCTTCAGAGACAAATTGGTATTGGAGCTTACATTATTTTACAGGAGGTAAGGATGTATGCGGTTTTGGTTTTTGTTTAAATCCAGGGTGATTTACCAAAAATAAACAAACTAAAAAAACAGATGAATGGTAAGCACTATAAATAGTCAATAGCAGTTTCTGTGGTAAGAGATAACTACCATTCATTGGTAGGGAAGGCAGGTAATGAAAAAAGGAAGGAAAATATTTTTGGGCATTGAGGGTTTCAATTCAGTACACATTATCTAGAGACTCTTTGATTCAACAAAATCACAAATTGTATGTCTACAGCTAGTTGGATTCTCTTTAAAAACTCTAAATGAGGGACCATTTTTAAAGTTCTCTTGATTCTCTTCTGCTAGGAACAGTTACTGTTCTTAGTACCCAAATGGCTGTCTAGTATAGTGATTAAAACCATGTATTGGCTCACACTGGGCACATCTACACATGCACCGGACTGCGCAGTTGTAACCACTCTTGCTGCATAGTCCTGGCACCACATGGGTTGTTTCACATAGGCCATCTAGTACAATTGAGATCTTTTTGCTTTACAAACTTTGAATACTAAACTGAACACAGTTTGGGGGAGGAAGGGTATCTGTGCAACTTTTCAGTTGCAAAAATGTGTTATGATATTTTAGAGCATTAATTAGCTAGAATTAAAGGAACATATCTCACGTTCTTTTTATGAATAACTTGCAGTACCAATTTAAAAAAAGAAGCCTGTAATGAATTTAGCAACTATTTGTTTTTCTTGTTGGAAGGAGCATGTAATTGTTCAGTAGAGTAGACATAAAATCCTAAGAATTGAATAGTTCTATTCAACTTCTCCACCTACCAGTCGCAATTTGTCACAAATTTGTCATGTGTGACATGTATCGGGTAGCATTGTTACAAGTGTCGGTGGTAAGAAGTAAGCTTGATCTTTTCTTTTTTTTTTCATCAGTATATAAATTAAGCTTGGAAGTACCCCAGATATCATCGTGGGTAGAAAATCAAATATAACATAAGAAATTATTGCAGACATTTAACTTTTAAATTACAGACTATCGATGGTCCCTGCCAAGTCATAGTTCACAAGTGGGAGACTCATCTACAACCACGATCAATAACCCCTTTAGGTATGGGCATCAACTGCATCTGTTTGAGGCATATACATAAGATTACTAATATGCTGCACATTGGTTTAATGGGATTTGATAACTATTTATAGCTTTAAAATATTTCAATTTAGTATTATTGTCTTACGGGTATAATTTTTTTCTAAATGCATCCTGGACCTTATTCTCAATATTGTAAAAAAAAAAAAATGCTTACAGTGTTTAAACTTCAACAAAAGATTTAAAAACACAATGGGCTTGAGAATAAAAGACAATAGGATCCTCAAAGTCATCTTATATTGATTTTAAATTGAAGTTACCAAATTTATTGATTGCTTTTTACCCTTTTGAGACTGAGGATCCATGGTTATGGTTTTTAGAGAAGGTGTAGGGAGGGGGAGGGCATGAACTTAACCACTGTTCTTTTTCAGATAAAATTTGCATAATAAACTTTTAAGAGGAAAAACCCAGTAATTGGGGCATCTTTTAAAAAGTACGAGTAATATCCACCTAAAATAAATCAAGATGTGGGATCTTAGTTAACTGGTTTATCATAGAACTTTTCTTTGGTGTAGGGACAGAAAATATGCATTTTATTTAGTTGTTCATTTTTTTTTTTTAAGTTCCCAAGACTTTTCTGAAATCCGGTATTCTTTCTTTTTAAAAATAACTGAACTCATCTTTAGAATGTCTTTTATCAGCCAGATCCTAATTAGCTATAAAATTAGGGGTGTTGGTCTAATAAAATATATCACATTTATCCAAAGAACCTTGTCTGCCTCTTAGCTATAAGATGGCATTTATTTGCATGTTGTTATATCTATGCTTAAAAATCCAAGAATTCCTAACCCAGTATTAGTTTATTCTATATTATACTTATATTGGTTCATTGAGAGAGTGTACGCTTAGTTAGACTTTATATAAAGTTGGGACTAATCATATGCACCACAAGTGATAACTGCAGCTTATTAGTGCATATGAATTAGAGCAGTGAAAGATGTCTCTTCCTGCAATAAATATAAATGGTCTTCCTATATAATATAGTAACTGAATATTCTGGTCTCCACTGGTTATTTAAACTTTAATCCTAATAAATTTGCTTTTGCCTTATTTCATTATTATTTCTTGATTATTTTCAAGTAATATTTATTTTTTAACCCTATAATTGCTGAAATCATATGTTAAATTCACAGCTTCATTGCCTTTTAAGTTCAGCAGTTAAAAGATAGTCTCTTAATGAGGCAGGGATATTTAGTTCTCGGAAAAGTATCTTACATTTTAAATAAAGTATTAAATGTAATAATTAACAGTTAACACCCCAGCAGAAGCTCCCTGGGATGTATTTCTTTAAAAGTTTTGTTGTGGGGAGAATTTAAAGGAAAAAAACACTTTCTTAACCTAATAAAATCTGGATAGTAGAAATCAGGAGAGAGGTTTTGCTGTCTGAGAAATTTCTCTCTAAGTTAATGCAAAATCTGGCTGTAGTGACAATTGTACTAAAATTTGACTTTTGAGAATAAAAGTTAATAACATTTTCAGTTTATGATAGTTCACACAATTTATAAAGCTTTCGGCTGTTGTTTGAGGGGGTGAAGTGAAGGTAAAAATACTTTGAAAATCCTCCTCCAGGTAAAGATATGTCAGAATCACAGAATAAGCATTTTTATTCTGACTGACTCTCTTTAAAAACATTTATATGAATGTTATAAATGTTTAACAGAAAAACTTGCTTGTATGCTTTCAAGTTCAATGTAGACATCAGCTACACACAACATCAGAAATATTTTAGTCACTAGCAAGGCACTACAGTAGCAAAATAATACAACACACTGGAATGATACAAGCAAAACTACCTGACTCTTTCAGATCAGAACACTTCAGTTTGAAGGGCTCACATCAAGCTGAGAAAAACACCATTTTTACAAGAAAACCAGACCATATGTTTTATAAAGGTTGCAATAAACATGCTTATTCTTTGTTGACTTTTCTTCTGTCAGAGATAGTTGTTAGAAATAAAGTGAAAAGGTGGAACTTTTTAATTTGTGTGATTTTTACATAAAATATGAATATTAACTAGTTTCCTTCCTTTTTTCCTCCCCTCTTCAATTCTAGAAAATGAGCTCATTATTGATGATGGAGAGTTTGGGATTCATAGTAAGTAAAACATTCATTGTTCTAAAAAATTCTTATCAGTATTTCTTAATTTTTTTAGAAGCCACATGTTAAATGAAACATATTCAAATATTAAACAGTAGTTTAACTGTCTGATTTTTGGATTGTGAGCTCACCCCAGGGCCCAGGCCACTTTTTCTGTCTAGAAATAACCAGGTAGTTGGTGCTACCATAAACAAAAATGCAAAGTAGTTTTCTTTTTTGGAGCCTTCCCTCCAGTTAGCTTCATATGTGAAGCTGACGAGGATTGCATGTTCCTACGTGTTTCCCTTTGGAAGTGGTGTCATGTAAAGAGACTTGTGTTGACTGCTGTTTATTTGCTACCCAAGATGGTTAGCAGTGAGAAGGACAAAGTTAAGGATGAATCCAATAATTTTGCTGACACATCATCAAATAAGCCTTATTGATGACACTTAATGAAAAGTTTTGGAAGACAATGCCAAAGGGAGCTACAGTTTGTAGAATGAAGAAAATTAGATTTTGGTATTCTCTGTTCAGCTATATTGATTTTGTTTTTGAAGCTCCTTATGATGTTTTATAACTGATACTACTTTTCATCATACTTATTTTGTCAGATGGGGTTGAAACTCTGGATTCTGGATGGCTCACATGTCAGACTGAAATAAGATTACGTCTACATTATTCTGAAAAACCACCTGTCTCAATATCAAAGAAAAAATTTAAAAAATCAAGGTTTAGGTAAGAGCATATGAATCAAAGGCTGTAATTTATGTTAAAGTTAATTTTTCTTTCATTTCTAGCATACTGTAGTATACTTAAACATTTTGGTTAACATAACATTTACAGCTTTAGTTGTAAAAATTTTTTTAGAAGATGCATGATCATATACATATAAGTAATTAAAAGTGATGGTCCTCCATTGAATGCAACAGTGTTTGTTAGCATTCAGGTTCTGTAAGGATCCAACATGTTCTACTGCTACTGATACAACTTTAATACTATGTATTTACAGAGCTGTCTCTATACACTTAAGAGAAAATGCTCATCTTGTCTCAAATACATTTGTTCAGTTCCATAATTTCTTGGGGTCCCTCATAAAATATTCAACTTGGTATTAAATAGGACATTTTTCTTTGCCTAGAAGGGAGAAACTGTATATCCAAACAAAATAACTATTTCAGAATTAGCTTATTATGATTCACTGGTTTCTTTTCACTTCCCAAAAGTTATTTTACCATTCTACTAAGCTCCTCTCCATATTATTTAAACAAAAAACGACAAAATAAATATTCTAGCACCATATGAAAGAAGAAGGCAAACTGATTGGTTTCCCTGGGAGACAGAGATTTATCTCCTGTTGTCTTAGTATTTTATACTTCTTGCCCTGGAATCATGGAGTCCTTAATTAGTTCTCTGCCCCTTCTACTTCTACTTTCATTTTTCCTTTCTCTCCATCTTTTTCCCTGTTTTTTTTTCTAGAGGAAAAAAACAGGAGGAGGAGGGAGGCATTTTCTTTAAATAAATAAGACTTAAGGCAGTGGGTGGTACTTCTCCCCTGAAATTGCAAATGCCTAAACCAAAGGGATATTACAACAGTCTCTTAGGCACCCTTACTGTTTCCTTCCTCAACATTAACTTTCATTACTATTACTAGCACATTCTGCACAGGAACAGATATTTGTAGTTTGACCCCCTGTGAGGCTGCAGCCTTGTACTTCTGGACCTCTTCTCTTATCTCTTCAGAAGTTTTGGAGTGCTGTTGCTCCCAAACTTTACCCAGCAAACTTATTTTTGGGCTGCCCTAGTACAGTGCCTGCCCTTATTGTGTGGGCTGCCCTAGTACAGTGTCTTCAATCTTCCTTTCTCAAAAAGCAGTGAATGGTCCCTTGAAAGACAAGGTCTGTACTGAGTCTGGTGAGTCAAAGCCTTTTTTTTCTCATTAAATAATTTGGTACCCCTTACTATCTTCCTGTGGGATAATTGCTGCCAAGTACTTTCAGCAAAAGACCAACTTCCTAGAATCTGTGGCAATAAGATACCATTCCCCACTAACCAAATGCCATGCCTTTCCATAAGGGAGAACACTCCATTCTTTGTGTGGATTTAAGACTTCACCAGTGGCCTAGAGTATTATGGCTTATTTTCCTTTGCTCCATTATTTAATTATCTGGGACTTCTCTCATGTTCTGTGTGTGCAGTACTCATGTCTAATCTCACATAGTTCTGATAATGCCTAGTATCATCCTTATCTTTATAAAGATGGCTACATTTCCAGTTTAGTGACATGGGTGCATGTTATCCACTCATAGCAGGATTTAAGCCCTGAATGCTTTCAGAAACGGCAGTTATCTCTGTTTTTGGTGTATCCGCTTATTCTAATACAAAAGCTTGTACAGTGTTGGTACATTGAAAGATCATCTGAGGACAGATGGATAGTTGGAGCAGTGCAGATAAAATGTTTTAACTACTGTAGGATATCTCAGTGGTCACCTGTGGGTTATTGTGACTTTTCTTTTTCAGGGTTGGAGGAGTAAAAGGTAATAACTTGATATAGATGTTCTGTGTCAGCAGTATTCTCTCTGGGAACCTGTCATTCTCTTCAATGTCTATATGGACCTCCTCCACTGAAAAATACTTTGTTTCATTAGTCTGCTTTTGTTTTCATGATTGACAAAAGTATTGGAAAGTAATCTATTTCCATTAATTCACAGCCTTTCTGCCTCCTTATTCCTGTTCTGTGTCGTGTTTGCTGTATGTATCTTTGTCCTGCAGGAAAGCACAGAGACTTCCCCTTTCCACAGTGTTCATAATTACTTCATTGCTTTCAGTCAGGATTTTTTATCTTTGGTTGCCCCACTTGGCCTTTCCATGTTGGTGGCCGATCTTTTGAAAATGTCCCTTTTTAATTCTGCAGCTTGTTATTTCTTTGACAGTCAAGGAGACTACATCATTGAGACCTTTTGGATATTTTACCCAGCCCTTTTAACTGTTGTGAGTTGGCCAAGTTGCAAGAGAGACTCTTTAAATATATACAAGTCAGTCAGAAAGTAAACTTATGCAGTGACGGCCCCAGGATGAACGGAGTAGCGAAGTATTGTGTTTATATTATTTTGAAGTCTGCATAATCCTTGAAGGTACTCTGCATTTCTTCCAAAACAAGAGGGTATAAAATTTATATTACGTCCTCCAGCCATGCATTTTGTAGATTCCTCATCTTTAGTTGTTTCTGTCACTGAAGATAGTTAACTAACTTTCCAGTATTTGGCTTTGTTTTTCTTTTGGGTTAATAGAGTGAAGCTGACTTTAGAAGGCTTGGAGGAGGAGGAAGAGGATGATGACCAAGATAAAACATCTCCTACTGTTTCTCAGAAAATGGCAAACACCCTGGACATTGCATTAATAACTGATACAGAATGCAAAAGTCGGCACTCTCAGCCAGACTGTGGGTATGCTTTGCAGCCTGATCGATGGACAGAATACAGTATACAAACCATGGATCCAGATAACTTGGAATTAATCTTTGACTTCTTTGAGGTATGTCTCTTTCTGATGTATGCTTATGTGGAAGCAACTGAGTTTGTTTTGCTTCCTGGTTAACAGGCAGGTCATTTTTCTTGATGGTTTCATTATTGAGACTAAATATAGCAGTGTTAAGGCATGTTTTTGATCCCGTGGACTCAGGAACACAGACTTCATGATGAGTCTTATGGATGGCGATGGATTTGACAACAAACTATTCCTGTTAAGCAAACATTTTAAAATTTTTGAAATGCATGTGTTATAAAAACAAGCTGAAGTAGTTAGCTGAAGTCAGCAGAAGGTAGGGTAGAGATGCACCTTATAGACTGCCTGAATGAGATACATAAGCTAACAGGGATCTCCAGGGCTATGTCTAGGTAAGCAGGGAAACCTGCCCTTGAGATCTCCAGGGGTGCCTCTGGAGAAGTGAGGAAAGTCAGGATTTTCTTGTTTACTCAGATGGGTCTCTAGAGATTCTGAGGGCTGATCTTGGTAAATGGATACCTGAGTTCCATGCCTCCACACTGGGACCCATGTGGGCTTTCCCAACTTATGGCAGTGCACCCCTGGAGCACCCTTGGGGTTGGTATCTCTCAATGGGGAACTTCAGCTTCCCTCCTTATAGAGACATGCTCTGAGATTCCCCTGGATGCTTCTGTGTAAGTGGGGAAAGCTGGGTAGGGGCTTCAGGGGCACTCAAGCCCCCAGAGCACTTGCCCAGGGCAGCTGTAGAGTGTGGGCAGTTCTGATTGCCTGCTAGGACTGTGCGAAGCTTTGGTCGCTGATTCGATTTGGTGGCCAAATCTCTGAATCGAGTCAGGAGACCCTTTAATCTTTCTGAATTGAATCGGAACCCTCTGAATGGATTCGGAGAGATTCAATGATTCGGACATAGACACAGCTTTAAATGTTTTTTCTACATACCTCTAGGTAGCAGGTGGCTTTGGAATGCTGCAATGGTGGGGCGGATGGAGCATCCCATGGGAGCGTGGCGGGGTTCCCAGCACACTTGGTGGCAGACCTGGAAGTAGACCGGAACCACTTCCAGTCCATTTCTGGGTCCACTGCAGAGTGCAAAAGGGACATGCCCCCTGGCTTGGCAAGTGGTGCCCTCCTGGGTCTTGCCGGGGAGCACTCAGGGTCTCCCTACACCCTATCACTGAGCTGGGGGATGCGGGGGGGACGGGGACGACTACTTTCAGGTCCACTGCTGAGCACGTGGGGAACCCCCCACGCTCCTTTGGGACACTCCATCTGCCCCATCATCGCAGCATTCACAAGCCATGCCTGGTACCTCAGGGTATATAGAAAACAGATTTAAAGCTATCTATGGCCGAATCGCTGATTCTCTGAATCAGCATTGAATCTTCAGATTTGGATTCAGCCGAATCAAATTGGGACAGTGATCTGAATCAACAAGTCGAATCACTGTCACCTGATTCAGGATGAATTCAAATTGCATACAGTCTATTTTGCACACCCCTACTGCCTGTACCCTCCTGCAACAGAGTTAATAAATGTCCCATAGTTTACCTGAAATTGACCACCTTTCATAAACTTCATTACTTATTGCATGTGCTTGTCTGGATATACCATGAAGTAATTTACATTAGAAACTTGTAGAATGAATTAAACATGTACTGATTTAGATTATGTGTTTGATTGTTTCCAGTGTGCTTGTTTAATTGACATCTTCCTTTCCAAAAACAAAAAATAGATTCAAAATAAACTAAACAAACCAAAGCGGTATGTCTGATTATAAAGTATTTTCTGAGCCTAGACTGAGTGGCCTTATAATGAAAAGTACACTGAAAAAATGTTTTATACAAATACTGATGTAATACATTAATTTGAGGAGTAAAACTTTCATGGTGGGGAGGGGAAGGAGGGGCATGGGGGAGAGAGTGTTCTAATGTGTCTTAGCTTTTACGAAAAAAATCTAATACTTCTGTTTTTAGGAAGATTTAAGTGAAGCGGTAGTACAAGGAGATACACTGCCAGGCCATGTGGGCTCTGCTTGCCTCTTATCCTCCACGATTGCAGAACAAGGAAAGAGTAGTGGAATTCTCACACTTCCTATTATGAGCCGAATTTCAAGAAAAACTATTGGAAAAGTTAGAGGTACGCTTCCTTTAAACAAGAAATTCAACATAAGCATGACCTTAAAATTGAATAAATAATTAATGTTTAATATAGAAATTCTAAAGGGAGTGAATGTGATTTGGGGTTATGGCACTTAAAAATGGTAAGCATGAATCCCATTAAAATTCAGTTTAAGCAGTCAGGCTAGCACCAGAACTGAAGTCCTGAGCTTGAGTGTAGCATTGCCTGCATAAAATAATACAGATCCAAGGGCTTCTATATACGTTCAGCAAGGCTGCTCTGACACACTAATTACAGCACATTGGAGCAGACTCAATTTAGTCTGCTGGGGCACGGCAATTACCACGCTTCAGCAGACTCAGTTAATTGTCAAACAAGCTTCAGTTCAAAGCTCCCCACTGCCATTTTTCAGCATGGGCCTGCTGACGCACGTGATACTCCAGGTACTTTTAATTAGTGCGGCTCTTGGAGCTGCACTAATTAAAGCTCCCCCCACCCCGAAGCATGTGCATAAATGTCCTGCCATTTTGAATAGATCTGTTTTAGCCACTTAATTCAAAGACTTCAGAAGTGTGCTTCATAAGTTTAGACTAAACTGTTTTCTTGAGATGTTTTTCTTGAGATGTGATTCTGTGGTTGGGATGGTGTTTAAAGATCAAGTAATTAACAGTGTATGCAGTGTTGTTGTTGTATCTCATGTAATTTTTTAAGTTATTGGGGTTCTGAACCACTTACAGAGAAGTGGATAGATGGGTTTACATATCATTTAAAAGGTTACAGCTTTATGTAATTTTTTTTTATAGTGGACTACATCATTATTAAGCCAATAGTAGGATACAGTTGTAATATGAAAGCCTCATATGCTAAGTACTGGAAGCCAAGAACAACTCTTGATGTTGGGCACAGGGGTGCAGGAAATTCTACAACAACTACCAAGTAAGTTCCTGTGCACTTTAATTTTAACATTTTTTGTTTACTTCCGGTTGCATAAGTGTATTTTGCATTTTATAAAAAACTCATGAAAAACAAAATTACTTAAACTTGTCAGGTTTTAATTGTTCCAGGAAGATAATTATATTTTCAGTTTTTAATCACTTGCATTGCAGTGTTATTCCTAAACCTTTTTACCCTTTTTATTATTTCAGGCTCGCTAAAGTTCAGGAAAACACTGTTGCTTCTCTAAGGAATGCTGCTAGTCATGTATGTATATACAACTCCTTTTAAAAAATTGATAATTTCTCCTATGCATTCTCTTGAAAATATAATAACTCAATAGGATAAATGTCATCTAACTGATACAGGAATGGTGAAGTGAACAAATTATGGAGTTGTGGCAGCAACTCTCTGTGAAAGTTCATAACTTTTTTTCTTTATATAATTAGTTGAGGCTCCCATCCTTGCATTTCCCTAAAGCCTGACATTTTCCTTAAAGTTGATAGACTCATAGAAAACTAGGGTTGGAAGGGACCTCAGGAGGTCATCTAGTCCATTCCTCTGCTTAAATCACCTCAGGAGGTCATCTAGTCCATTCCTCTGACTAAATCAGGACCCCCCCCAACTAGATCATCCCAGCCAAGCCTTTGTGTAGCCAGGTCTTTAAAACCTCCAAGGATGGAGATTCCACCATCTCTCTGGGTAACCTGTTCCAGTGCTTTACTACCCTCCTAGTGAGGGAGTTCTTTCTGATATCTAACCTTAATTTCTCTTGCTGCAACTTGAGACCATTGCTGCTTGTTCTGTCATCTGCCACCACTGAGAACAGTCTAGCTCCAGCCTCTTTGGAACTACCCTTCAGGTAACTGAAAGTTGCTATTAAATCCCCCCTCGGTCTTCTCTTCTCTAGACTAAATAAACCCAGTTCCCTCAGCCTCTTCTCAGAGTCATGTGTCCCAGCTGCTTTTGTTGCCCCCCAGTGGACTATCTAATTCATCCACATTCTCTCTGTAGTGGAGGGCTCAAAATTGGACACAGTACTCCAGATGTGACCTCCCAAGTGCTGAATAGAGGGGAAGAATCATTTCCCTTGATCTGCTGGCAACACTTCTACTGATTTAGCCCAACATGCTGTTAGCTTTCTTCACAACAAAGACACATGACTTATATTTGGCTTATTGTCCACTGTAACTCCCAGGTCCTTTTCTACAGAGCTGCCTCTTAGACATTCAGTCCCCAGCCTGTACTGGTTCATGGGATTGTTCCATCCTAAGTGCAGAACTTTGCATTTGTGCTTACTGAACCTCATAAGTTTCCTTTTGGTCCAGTCTTCCAATTTGTTGAGGTCTCTCTGAATCCTAACCCTACCCTCCAGCATATCTACTACTCCACCCAGCTTGATGTCACCCACAAACTTGCTGAGGGTGCACTTCATCCCATCTTTCATACCATTGATGAAGCTATTAAACAAAACTGGCCTCAGGACCCGCCTCTGGGGCACTCCACTTGATATTGGATGCCAACTGCACATTGAGCCATTTGATTTACTATCCTTTGAACCTGATGATCCATCTAGTTTTATATCCACCTTACAGTCCATTCATCCAACCCAGAGTTCCTTCGCTTTCTGCTGCCAGTGTTGTGGGAGATGGTATCAAAAGCCTTGCTTCCACAGAGCCAGTCATCCTTTGTTCGGTCAGGCATGACTTGCCCATGGTGAGTCCATGCTGATTGTTCCTAATCACCACCACCTCCTTCAAGTGCTTAGAAATGGGTTCCTTGAGAACCTGCTCCATGATTTTTCCAGGAACTGTGGTGATGCTCAGTCTGTAGTTCCCTGGATCCTCCTTCCCTTTCTTAATGAAGGGCCCTATATTTGCCCTTTTCTAATAAACTGGGACCTCTCCTGGTCACCACAAGTTTTCAAAGATGATGGCCAGTGGCTGTGCAGTCACATTGGCCAACTTCCTCAGCACCCTCTTGTGCATCACTTCTGGCCCCATACTTACACACATCCAGCTTTACTAAATAGTCCCTAACCTGTTTTTTCACAACTGTCAGCTGCTCACCTCCTCCCCAAACTGTGCTGCCGGGTGCAGTAGTCTGGGGACTGACTTTGCCGGTGAAGACTGAAGTAAAAAAGTAATGGAGTACAGGCAGTCCTTGATTTACAACATTTCAAGTTGCAATGTTTTGCACTTAACATTGTTTGTAAATTGACACAGTTTCAACTTTCTGACATCAGTTTCGACTTCACAACGCTTGATCCAATGCAACATCATGCCAGTGAGCAAGTTTGCTGCGTTGCCCATCTCCCTGGAGAACATCTGTCCAAACTTCCTTGGACACTTTCTTTAAGAAAGCAGACAAGAGTCCAGAAAAACCTGCAGCCAAGACTCCTGAGAAGACTCCAGGCAAAAACCCTTCAAAAAGTGCAATCTCCAAGAGCCCTTCAAAAAGTCCAAGAAAGTCACCTCAAAGAAGTCCTTCCAAATCAATATGATTTCTATTTACAATATAAATACATTACTGTAACCACATTTACTCATCTATAATTGATTTGAGTACAAAATTCTGGGTTATTTTTGGTGAAAATAGGGTATCAGGCCAATAAATCCCTCATTTATAACATTGTTTTCTATGGGAAAATTGGTTCAGTGTGACAATATTTCGACTTAGGACATGGCTTTCAGGAATCAGTTGTGTTGCAAGTCCAAGGACTGCCTGTACTTCAGCCTTTTCTGCATCACCTGTCACTGCTAGGTTACCTCCTCCATTCAGTAAGGGATCCATACTTTCCCTGATCTTTCCCTTGTTGCTGACATACTTGTAGAAAATCTTGTTACTCTTTATGTCCCTTCTTGATTTCTTCCCTGCATGCCCAAACAATACTCTTCTACTCCTACCTAGTTTGTTGTCCATTTTTCCACGTCTTGCAAGCTTCCCTTTTGTATTTTGGCTTATTGAAGAATTCTTTTCTAAGCCAAGCTGGTCTTCTGCCATACTTGTTGGTCTTTTTGCGCATTGGGATGGTTTGTTCCTGTACCCACAGTAAGGTTTCTTTAAAGTACAACCAGCTTTCCTAGACTCCTTTCCTCCTCAGACTGGCCTCCCAAGGGACCCTGCCCATTAGTTCCCTGAGGGAGTCAGAGTCTGCTTTTCTGAAGTCCAGGGTCCTTACTCTGCTGCTCTCCTTCCTTCCAATCCTCAGGATCCTGAACTCAGTTGTCTCGTAGTTGCTGCTGCCCAAGTTGCCATCCACTACTACATTCCCCACGAACTCGTACCTGTTTGTGAGCTACAGGTCAAGAAGAGCATGACCCTTACTTGGCCTCTCCAACAAGAAGTTATCTCCAACACTCTCCAAAAACTTCTTGGATTGCCTGTATGCTGCTGTATAGCCCTCCCTGCAGATGTCAGGGTGATTGAAATCCCCCCTGAGAACCACAGCTAGTGATCGGGAAACATCTTCTAGCTGTTTGAAAAAAGTCTCATTCACCTCATCCTCCTGGTCTATAGCAGACACCCACCTTAACTTCCAGTTCTTCCTTCTTGTTTCCCAGGGTTTGTGCATTTGTTTGGACACCTGAAGTAACTAACTGATTGCCCTACTTCCTCAGGAAGAATGAGAAAGCCTCCCTTGTTGCTTGTACTTTGTCCAGATCCCCTATTTCCCCCCTTACTTCAGGGCTTTGGTCTCCATCCCCCAGTAAACCTAGTTTAAAGCCCTCCTCACTAGGTTAGCAAGCCTGTTGGCAAAGATGCTTTTCCCTGTCTTTGTTTGATAGATCCTCTCTCTTCCTAGCAGTTGTTCTTTTTGGAATAACAGCTTGTCAAAGACAACAAAACCCTGGTGACAACATCATCTATGCAGCCATATATTGATCTGCAGGATGTGGCCACTCCTCCCGTGGCTTTTCCCTTTGACCAGAAGAATCGAGGAGAACACCACCTGGACCTCTGTCCCCTTCACCCTTGTACCCTGAGCCCTATAGTCACTTTGGATTTGCTCAGGGTTACCTCTGGCAGTATCATTGGCGCCCACATGCATGAGCAGCATGGGGTAGGAGTCAAAGGTGTGGATGAGTCTTAGTAATTCTTCCGTGACATCATGGATCCAGGCTCCAGGCAAGCAGCTGACCTCCTGAGACAACAGGTCAGACTAGCAGATGGATACTTCCATCCCCCACAGAAAGGAGTCTCCAACCACCACCACCCGTTGCTGCTTCTTGGTGGCAGTGGTCTTGGTCCTCCCGACCTTGGAGATGCCTGGCCTGGCCTGGCCTCTTCCGCCAATGGAACATGTTAATCTTCCTCTGTTGCTAGGGATCCATATCTCTTCTCCAGCCAGATCACTGCAGGTGAGGATAAAGACTTCTGCTTACTGCCAGAGATCATAAGCTTCCAGCTTTCACCTTCCTGGGACTCCATATCTTATTCCTTCTCTAGTGCTGCCTCTGGCAGTCCTTCCTCCACAGTCTTAGAGGTCTGCTTCAGCACTGAATCAATGCACATCCTCATGGTGGAGGATGTCAGAGGCGTGCCATCTCTTCCTGTAGCTCTCTTGCCTGCTCCCTGTAGGACACCACTAGGAGGCACCGCTTACATTACAGGCACTCCCCACCTGGTTGTCATTGAAAGGAACCTACAAGTCATGGTCTCCACAGTGCCAAACCAGGGAACAGGGTGGGATCCTTGACAGTGGGCAGACATCTCACAGGTGAAAGCAGAGGAAGAGCTGGCAGTGGCTGTGGCATTGTGACATCGTGGAGTGTTCTCTTTGGGTCTCTTAAATCTGCTGCACCTTTCTTCCTTTCCCTCTCTCCAGGCAAATCAAGGTGGGGATTTATGTTAGGCATTGTAGATGCAGAAACCCATTTATAAAGTTTCTCTTCAGTTGTTGAATTCAAGAACTTAGTCAATATGTATACTGTAATGACTTTTTTTTAAATCAGCCAATGTAATTATTCTATTTCAGTTAACATGCAAAATGTAACAATTGCCAACTATTAACCCTGACTGGGATACCTTGTTCCTTAATGTTTACCTGTGTATATGGGTCATCTTTCTTCTGGGGACTTGATAATCTTTATGTATGTATGTGTAATTACTACTTTTCAAAAAATTCTTGGCAGGGAGCAGCTTTTGTGGAATTTGATGTACACCTTTCGAAAGATCACGTGCCTGTTGTATATCATGATCTCACTTGTTGTTTGGCAATGAAAAAGGTAGGTAAAAATGTATTGGCTATATTTCTTTTTACTATGGCAATTGTAGCTAAAATAATTCAACTGAAATTTCTCGGCACCTAATAAAAACAAGATGGTCTCTTGAGATGCAAATAGAAACATATATTTCTAGTGGTAATGTACTGGAAATGTTTGTTTTGCTTAAAAATATACCGCAAAAGGTGAGCTAACTTAATACTTTTCACGTTGACGCAGCAGCAGCAGGAACAACATTTCAAAGCTGTGATCGAACATATTTTCTCATGACATAATGTAGTTGTTCTCAACCTTTTTTTTTAGTCCATGACACACAGTGTGGAAAACTACCATCTCCCATACTTCTGTCCTAATAAGTTGTCACAAGATGACTTTTTTTCCCCCGTTATTTCATTCTTGGGGATGGGGATAGAGCAATATTTGAGAAGCTGGCTTTGCTACCACTTCTAGCACTATTTTACCTTTACCTTTATGCATAGCACCTTAATGATGACAGTAGTTGAGGCTGGGATTGAGTGATAGGCCACAGAGAATATAATCAGAACAGAAAGGACATCAGCAATGAAAAGCTTCCCTTCCTACCTGGGCTCCCTGTGTCCTTTAGGACCAAAAGGATGCCACTGTGCTTTCTCAGACAGGAGGGCTGGGAGTCTCATGGTCACTTTTGAACAGAACTTGGCTGAGCAGCACTAGTATAGCATATACTGGTGGTGATGGCAACCCTGAAAAGAGCACACCTTAAATACAATTGCAGACTCTGCAACATTTTAGTTTCATAACATGCAAGACATTAACAATTCTTAATCAGTTACATGATCATAAACTTTTTTTTAAATGCCTTTATTAAAGAAAAGGCATTTTATGACTCAAAAATGCCTTAATATATTTCCTTTTTTAAAGAGTTTATAATAACGTAAGTGCTCTTCTTTCTGGTTTGTTGGATCTGCTTTGGCTTAGGCACAAAAACTCTGTGTAGAATAGCAAATCAGTACAAAGAGAGGCTGAGTTGTTTTCCCTCTTTTTTTCCTCTCCTTTTTTCCCATTGTGCTGACTAGATTAAATCCTCAACTCATACTCATTGCAATTCAGTATAATCTGCTACAGTAAACATGGGCAGATATTTAAATTGAGAAAATGGCATTCACCTTTTTACTGAAAAGGAATGCAGAAGTACTTCAGATGTTCTGTTTTCTCAAGGACTTCTTTCAAGACATCTTATAGAAGAAAAGAAATTGCCTCAATTCTACTGAGACACAAGGCAGAATTCTCTTTCATGTAGGAGTAATTCTGTTACCCAGTCTGGGCATATAAGTACCCCCATTGTGGTATTAGGGAAGCATCTGCATGTTTCCAGAGGGTGAGCAAGTTTTGGAGGGTTGTGAAATAAGGTGTGTGTATATTTTTGTGAAATTTTAAAACAGTTTTATACTTTATATTTGAACTTGTAAATTTTATGTTGAAAACTGAGGATTTTTTTTTTTTTGAGTAAATGTAGGCTATTACAAGAATTCTCACCTCGCGTAGGACCTACTTTTAAAGTGTTTTGTAAATCTCACTTTTACCTATATAAAAGGCATTTGGACAGAGTTACCCATTTTTGTAGCCCCTAAGTGCCCATGTTGCCATTTTAGAAAGCTGGTCTTCTCATCCACAAGTTATGTTATATAATAGAGTCCTGCATCAAGTCTGGTACAAAGCAGGTTGCGTTTGGGTGAGAATGTGAGCTGCTTCACATTTTGCAGTTCAGGTGTGGGTTTGAAAAAAATTTTTGGGGGTTACACTTAGGTCATAATGTAAGCCTCACCACTGGCTGCTGACAGATGTGACACCCTCCCCACCCATGCTTTCCCAGAAGCAGCAGTGCCTTAGTTCAACCTGGCTCTGCAGCATCTGTATAGATTGTGTGTTTTAGTGGAGCTTTTTTTGGAGCTTTCACCTAATAGCTGATTAAATCAGCTTTAGATGAAAGCACCAAAAAGCCCTGCTGAAGCGCCCAATCTATATAGACGCTGCATAGCCAGGTTGAACTAATGCACTGCTGCTTCCAGGAAACCACTATTTTTTTCACATCTGTGAGTGGTGTTTTTAACTTTAACAGAGTTTGGGTCAGGTCAGTCCGTGGGTAAGAAGTTGTTGCTAATGCGAGTTGTGAGTTAAGGTCCAGTTCTATAATATCAGGTTTAAGTCAGAAGTGGGCCTTAAATCAGACCCAAGCAGGTCTCTATCACAGCCCTAGTTTTAGTGTACAATTTTTGTTGCTGTTTTGTTACCACTGCTTATTTACAGTACGTGTATGACTCTTCACAATTTTGAGTAAAGCTTTAACATTTAACTTTTCCTTTTTCAAGAAACTGGAAGCTGAGCCATCAGAATTGTTTGAGATTGCAGTGAAAGAACTCACATTTGATCAACTGCAGTTATTAAAGGTAATGTCATGTTCAGCTAGTGTGACATGCTGTTGCATACTAGATATTTTGTGTTCAGACTGATTATGAGAGGTCTTTGTTTTGAAGTAGCAGATGTGTGAATAGGGAGGCAAAAGAAAAGGAAAATTGGGGGGAACAAAGTTATAATAAAGGTTGCAGTTAATTTCAAGAACACTTCCTTCTCCACATCACTTGCACTTAAAGAAATTGCAGAGGCAGCATGTTTGGGTTTTTGGTGGCAAGAGAACCTCTGTAGCTATTTGCTTTCTGGGAACCATCTGGCCTATTTCTGGTGTGATTTGAAAGCATTTGTTTCCCCCACCCAACTCCAGCATACTGTGTGCAACTTAACATACAAGTACTCTCTTCAGATTTCAGCAGCATACATATTTTACTGATGAGGAAATATTTATAAAGATGGAAGATTAGTACTAAACTATGGGAATTACTGAAATGGAATAACAAAAGCCTTCTTATGGTTGTTAGCAACTAAGTCTGCTTCCTTTTCTCCTCCAAGGATAAAGTAGAAAGGAACAATCTTGAAACAAGTTTATATAAGGGTTTAGAACAGAATGTCTGTATCAGCTTATTAGAATATCATGGTAAAGTAGCTGAAATTGAGAAAAGGGCTGAATTTTCAGAAGTGCGTCCTAGCCGAAGCTCTTACTATACTTAGTGGAAGCTGAGGGTACTTGGCACTTCTCGAAAACTGGAACTAGGATATTTTTCTTTGTATCATTATAAGCAGTTATAAAGTTTCATTAGGGATATAATGCTTGATGAAAAAATAAATAATCTTGTAGTATGTGTGAGACCCTCTTATTATGGTCTTAGCTCAGATATAGTGAGTGAAAAAGTGAAGCAGTCTGCTAAACAGCCCAGGTGATGACCTGTTAGTTATGAAAAAATATTAGAAGTAATTGAAACTGATAGTTCAGA